ACCTGCACACCTCTCTTGCCACGGAGAAGAATAAGTACCGAATCATATTCTTTTTGGCCTTTCTGCTATATGCGATAGGCGCCAAGTAGAAGATCGTTTAGGTGCTGATGGTTTTGAGTATGCCAGAGCGTAGTACCTCTGTCTGCCTACTAGCAGAGCTGTCCTTCAACCTTGCCATCACCCGAGCGACATTCAAGGGCAATGCGACCAAAGTTGTAAGTTGGCTGGCTCACGGTAGAGAAGAGTGTCTAGAATGGCGGCGTCACCGGAATTACAGAAAAAAGAATCGGGAATATATCACACGTCGTCACAATCTGTAGTATCCCGAGTTAGAGAAATTGAAGACGCGATTTGTCAACGACTTTGTAAGAGAAGGCAGGTACGCCTAATCAAGGTGGTCACAATAGGAGCAACAAGCAGGGCCAGCAATGACTGGTATTAGCGTAAGACCTCAACCTAGCCTGAGCTAAAGAGGTGTGCAAAGGCCATGGTCTATATACACGTGAAAGGGGTTACGAGTCATCCTTGCGTAGCCAGGGTAGTAGTGGCGATAGTGCGTGGCCCTGTTAGCGGTGGCAATAGTGGCGATGGTGGCGAGGGTGGCTGATGCACGAAAAGTGTAAATAGCTTCATTACGTGAAGCGCTGGTGGGAGCCCCACTAATAGCGTTCGGCGCTAGCACGTGACATAGCGGGGTCTGGGGATTTCCTACCTTAAGGAAATCGCCGCGCCCACCTAGCCTTAGAAAAATCATTACCTTTTACACTTTTTTGCTTCCTTCTCGGTTTTACCGCTTCAGTGGCCCTGTGATGCCTGATTGAGCGAGGGAGCGCCAAGACAGGGTCATATGACCGGCACGTGTAATTTAAGTACATAGGTACATAGGGAAGCGGGGCTTAGCCTGACGCGGTTAGACCGCGTCTGCCCCACCAAAGGACCACATAAGGTCCTCGGCAGGGCAGTGCTCCTGAGCTTCCTCCCTCGATCATCAAGTTACCTACCTTTTCACAAATAGCTACCGCATTCCGTGATCTAGGTGACGATCACTCTTCACCGTGGTGGCGTTGGCCATGGTGGCTACGAGGGTGGTTTCCTTACAACTTGAATACCCAGCTGAATGGCGCATGGATCTTTCAAAACCCAACTAGTGAGCCTTATAGATCCTATATAGATATCGCTAGTATTATATAGTCTGTTCGAGATTTTACGAGAATAGCCAAGCGGTCTCTCAACAGCAATACATAGATTACAACAATAGTATATGTGTCGCTATCGGGGCTACCGTCATTGACGGGTCGAGCATGTCACTTTTCAGCCACGAGTCAGCATAGCTTCTAGACCCCTAAACTTCTGGATTTCCTCAACCTAGACCCCCGGACTTCCTCAACAGCAAAAATTCTACTCTACCACAAAACACCTCACTGAACATTCAACATTCATAGCACAGAATAACCCTCTCCCAAATTTTGATAATATTACCACTACCACTACTACTCTGAATAACGAACTACCCCGGATCCGTAGTCTTCAAGATGCGCAGCTAAACCAAGCAATTCTCGATTGGTTGGATAGCATCTAAGATCAGTTAGATAGCACTTAGAATTGGTTAGATAGCATCTTGTTACGATCCTGGTTCAGGCGCGCAGGAGGCTGCACGGAGCCTCCCACTATTGGCTGACGCAAGGAAGTGGGGTAGTTCCCCGCTTCGCTCAGGTGCAGCCAATAACGGGGCGGTCAGTATGATCAGCATGGTCAGGGCGATCAGTGAGGAAACTGATCGCACTGAGCACACTGACCGCACTGAGCTCACTGATCACCTAGGACCAACTCTCTGATTGGTCCGCCTTAGATAGATATATACGACGACCGTAGCCACGGTCTCAGATAGTTCTTGCTTGGTTCTTCAAGCAAGCAATACACATTCACTGCACTCATACACTTTGAGTGGCATTCCGATTTGACTGTATTACCCGTGTGATAGGAGCTTGCCCTTTGTTCTATCTTCATAATTACCAACCCCAGCATTCTGTGGAGCCCGTGCTCCCTTACAGACAGACGACCCTGACAGTCGAGTGGTTTGTAATACATCTAGGCCGAGCTACGGAAAAACTCAAATGATTTCATACAGCTACAGAACTCATAAAGATACGCCCTCAATTCTAGGACAACTCTTCTACCCCTGAGATCTCTTCGAAATAGGGCTTCGATACTCGATACCTAACTGCCTAACCACAATTGCTCAGATAAGCTGACTAACTAGGGCTGAGGTACGCTGTATTCTTCGGGAACTTGAACCCCGACTAGCGAGCCTTATAGATCCTATACAGATATCGCCAGTATTATATAGTCTGTTCGAGATCTTACGAGAATAGCTAAGCGGCCCTACGACTTTAATAATATAGCAGCTATCTTACGACAAATGGATTTAATACTAATACAAGACCAAATGAAAATATCAGAGATACAGCTTCTTCTTCCCAATAAGCTTCTGGATTGAGCAAGCGCTTTATTAGTACAAGCTCTTTATTTTCGTGTCCAGCACCCAGCTTCGGCCGTCCCAAGCTGGCGCACTGTGTAGCCCAGCATTCTTCAGAGTCTCTGTGGAAGGCAATGCAGGACTAAGCGAGACCCGTATCTTCTCTCCCTGAGCGCCTGTGGAAAAAGGCCTCAAAAACTATCAGAGAGCTTCCATACATGAGCTGCGTGGTACCGCTGAAAGCATTGGCGTCTCTTTCGCCGTATCGGCAGGAACGGTATCACGAGTTGATCTCAGTCCCACCGCTTAAACCCCGAAAGAGCTTGTAAATAAGATTGCAGCCGCCATCGACAAGGCGTTAACAGGTAGTTCCGTAGCACGAGAATTCTGTCTCGCTGCGGGAATGTATCCTTGTCTCTTGCCTGTGTTCGCTCTCAAGCGGCTGGCGAGGGCGCACTGGGGCAGCCTTTCGAGGGAATAGCAGCGTTACTTGGTTAACTACGCCCTCAGCTTAGTTTACCTCCAGCGTACTAAGCGCCTTGCGAGTTTTGTTAGTAACCCTAATCGTAAGCGTAAGCTTCAGCGCGAACCAGCGAATTTGGGAAGCTACGACGAGTTCGACCTACTCATCTACCTAGAGGGCCTTCTCCTAAAGCTTGAGCAGGGCATCTTTATCTGCCCGGTTCAGCAAAAGATTGCAGCAACCATGACAACGCCCCCTGGCAGCAAAGGTGCCGTCATGCAGCTGAACATGGGCGTAGCAAAATCCGATTATAGGTAGCGATATCCTCTAGCTCTACCAAGAATTTGAGTGTCAAGAGATACTACCAACGAGAGCGACGAGAACTTTAGCGTAAAGTTTGGACTATTAAATTATGGCTGGTTACTACAGCTATAGGGCCCTGAAGTCTAGGGCACTGTAGCGGTTGTATTGGTGTAGTTATGGCACTGTATAGTACTGTGGAAGCACAGCACCACGAGACACTGCATAAGGAACTGTACAGCGGCACAAACCAGTACACAGCGTTATGAAGTGCGATTTGGTGTGTGTGAGGCACTGCAAATTGCCGTGGCCGAAAGCAGTGCCCAGAGAGTAGAACCCCGGGCGCGGGTAAAGCAGTAGTTGGCTTTTACCACCTCTTTTCTCAAATCAACATTCGGACCTTCGTCGCAGCCAACCGACTCCTTCAACTAATCTACCTGCCTCACAGCTAGCTGACTTCCTTTCTTACCCTCGAGATGGACTCTGCAATCGCTCAAATACAGGCTGTTCTAAACGAACACAATACATCAATCCAGAACCTCAATCAACAGGTTACTAACCTGACGAACCAGCTCAACACCCTATTGACTGCGATGACGGCGACTAATCGACCGGCTACCCAGCCGAAGCCCTCGCTTCCTGACACTGAGAAGTTCACCGGAACTGACTAAGATACCTAGTTTCCTTCAATTTGAGTCAAGCTCCGTATCGACGGCCCTGCCCTCGGCGACAAAGAGGCTCAATTCTTCTACGTCTACGGTCGCTTGGACCCGAAGGTCAGAACCTTGTGATGCCTCAGCTGGCCCATGCTGAAGACGATGAGGACGGCGCGTACAACCCTCAAGACCTTCTCAATCAATTGAAGCTACTTCATGACGACCCGAATAAGGTCCAACGTGCTGAAGATTGTCTTCGGAGCTGCAAGCAACATGACAATGAGAGCCTCACAGCTTACCTTGTTTGGTTTGAAGGCAACCTCTACAGAGCGAAAGACAACAAGTGGGAGGACAAGATCAAGATTGTATTGCTGCATAAGGGTTTGAGTATAGCGTCACGCAAGCAGCTTGCAAGGCAGATCATTCTGCCTACCGATTACAACGGCTACGTTGAGCTCTTTCAGAAGCTCAATGGCGGTTAGAGCTACGGGCAACCCGGCTCGCATACAAAGGACAGCTTAGACAAGATATACGTCAGCCGCATCGGCAACGTCAATGTTAACGATGTTTGAACTTTTTGAAAGAGGTAAAACGGCTGATTAGAAAAAGTAGAAAAAGTGGAGTACTGGTGGTGCGATTTTTGCGATTGGAGGAAGAAAATGTGGGTAGGTACTGGTGGTGCGATTTTTGTGATTAGAGGAAGAAAATGTGGGTACTGGTGGTCCGATTTTTGTGGTTGGACAAAGAAAAAGAAAAAGTGAGCAATGGTGGCCCATGTAATTGGTCGATATTGATGTGAATGATAGCTCGATCTTGTGATTAGATGGCAGACTGGTGGCTCTTGTGAATGGCAAGACTGAAGATGACATACAAAGGGAGCACGACAGCTAAATACATTACGGACTCAGAACCTTCCGACGGTTCAGAATGCCCTCAATCTGGCCGCGAGTATGTAGGCCTGGCTGCTCTGCGTGCTGAGAAAGCCCGTATAGATCGACGATTTCACAAAGACCTGTCTGACTGACCAGTTGGCCACCCTATACAACAATACACACCTGTACAATATTCCATACATCCGCACACAGCTACGAACAACTGTCGACAGCCCGACTGACAGTTTCTGACGGTTTTCTAAGGATGGATTTGAACGCCTCGGGGCGAGGCTTTTTTCGAGGGGGAGATGATGTCACAGTCGCCACAGGGCTCATGTAACAAGATTGATTCTATTAGCTACATTGTATTTGGGGTGTGGCCCATGTGCCTCACCACCCACGTGCTTAGCACCACCACCTACTTCTCCGCTTTGCTCTTGTCAACGTTTATCTCCTCTGGCCATTCATGATCAAAGAAGAATCAGTTCCGACCACCCATTCCGGGCACGTCTGGTCGATTGGCGGCGTCCTGTACAACGGGGTGGCCCTGCAGCTCCGGGTAGAACGGCTTCAAAATGTAGCTTAATTAGCTCGGGCTTCATCTGGCGTTGATGCTGAAGCATCACGAAAGGCATTTTGAGATTGACCATGCGCTGGGAGAGAGAGACATTGAGGTTGTAAGGCTCTTCTCCTAGCCATCGAATGTCGCAGTTAGGCGTCAGCTGCTGATGGTCCCCGACAAGAATCAGCTGCTGGAGGCTCGGGAAGAGAGCCGACGTAATGTTGGCCTCTCGTGTCTCGGCAGCCTCTTCGATCAGGAGAGAACGAGGCATCAATGCAGCTAAAAAGCCACGAAACTTGGTGAGGCCCGTCGTGGTACACCCAACAACTTCGATGCCCTCAGAGTCAATTAAATTAATGTCTCTAGCCCACTTACTTACCTTAAGATGTTTACATAGGTAAACATTCTGAGCGAAGAGGGAGGTGAGCTTTGACGTGGTAGCTTCCAGCAATTTAGCCTGCAAGAGCTGGTATACTGCACCGCGCATGTCTGGGCAGATGCAAAACAAATCGCTGTTATCTGCCAGTGCACGCGCAGCAGCGCGCTGCCAACGCGAGACATGCGAGGGTTCTCTGCCAGACCACATGTGAGCCAACTCAATTAGCTGGCCCCTGATACGGCCCAAGTCTTCCTCGTCTTCGGCGATATTGTCCAGGTCGCCGTCGAACTCAACTTCACGCTTCGCCTCGGCCTCATCCAGGTCTTGCTGGGTTGGATGCTGGTCCCGCAAGATCCGAGCTGGAATGAGGCTCTCACCAAGCCAGAGCGCAAACGGCCCCTCCTCAACATCAGTCTCCATGCTTTCGTCATACAACGATGATAACTGATCCTGAGTGATGACCCCCGCATCCAAAAGTGCAGAAGGACTAATGAGGTTGTGGTTGTCGCCAAAGACGGCGCTAACCAAGTCTTGAATGGCGTCAATGTTGGCGCGATGAGAATGAACAAGGCCTCGATGTCGCTTGTCTTGAACTTCTTGGTAGCGCTTGCGAGTCTCTTTCACCGTGTGGGGTCGAATCATGGGACTCTCGGTCCTTCTGCCAACTCGAAGGATATTGGCGCCATTGTTCAAACAGTGGATAAGAATCTGGTCCAGAGCGTGGTTCGTCTGGGCGGCAACAATAATCGGCGGACCTCCTTGCTTGCGGCGGGTGGAAAGGATCACTTTAATCGCCTCTATGGATGTAAACGTCTTTCCAGTGCTAGGGAGGCCCTGAACAATTGCGAGCTCGTTGGAGACAATTTTGTGTACGCCTTCGAGTTGCGAATCGTCTAGTGTTGAAGCTCCTTGAAGGCCAGGAGGGCCACCCTCTAGAACATGAAAGGTGCTCATGGATTCTCGCAAAGTATCGCCGTTCTCGGTGGCGCGGTGGATGAGTGAAGAGAAGTCCATCCAAGGATACTCTTCAATGAACGCGGGTGGTGTATCGTGGACATGGTTGCCAATAAGATACTTGTCCAAAGGCGAACTAATAGGGTTGTTAGTTCTGTATCATATGACGCTGTAAAGGGGTAGCCAACTTACTATGTCTGAGCGGCGTGCTGCAAGCCGACGAGTGCGTGGCGTACTGACTCGAAATACCCGTTTCGAGACTCAACCATGATTAGTTCCAGGTTCGGATCCAAAACGGCATCCTCTGTATTCGCCCACATCAGATCAATAAGTGGCGGGTCCTGGTCAAGGCCATCTCGGTATAGCCGTTGGGCAATTGTGGCGATCTTGCAGATTGTCTTGAAGTTGTCATCCTTCGTAGAAATCGCGACGATGGTCCCCGGCCTGAGTCTCTTCGATTGCTGCCACTTAATCCTGCATGTCGACCGCTTTGTCGAGAACTCGACGCGTGCGATAGGCCGAGGCGTGACATTAGATATGACTTGACTCGAACCTGAGAGAAATGCGATGATCAGCGTGAGTGTGTTAAAAGGCAAGAATAGATAGAGCATGCCCTGGTGTAGATGCATGAGAACTCATCATCCATTGGTACCTTCTTGTTCTTGATCGCATCTTTGTAGAGTCCTACGGAGAACCGTAGACCCTCAACTCCTTCGCGACGCAGGATCTCGTATTACGCCTCAAGATAGGCCTCCTTTGAGGCCCAGGGAGTATGGACGGGATTCTCTGGCAGATCCTTCGTGTCATTTTCAGTTGCTAGAATCTCGCGAGCTTGTGGGAGCTCCGAATTCGACTTCCAGCCCTGGGTTGCCTCAGGGCTAAAGTGGACATGCTCGTTGACAATGTTGAGAGCGCGCTGCATTGTGTCAATCTTCCCGAGCTGGGACATGATGCAAGCCCCACGGCAGTGGGTGGAAGAGATCGGGACAGTAGTTCTGTAGGACAAAATTGAGGAATGCGAGGGCGCAAAAATGGCGGGGTACTGCAGCTTAGGAGAGTGGTGTATTTGAGGAAAATGCACGGAAGGGAAGAAGGCCCGCAAGAATACAGTGTGGCTAGCAGTCAAGTACAAGGCCCGACTGCCCACTTGGCAACGCTAGGAAGAAGACGCGGTCCGCAATAATTGACGCGAGGTGACTCGACCAATGGTAAGAGCGAATTGGTGGAGTCTATCAGGTGCCAGGCGGGGGTGGACGTGTAGGATGGGGCTGTTGTCCGAACAAGAGCGATGAGAGCCAGATCTTCTCGCGAAAAATGGCCATTTTTCATGGCTTTTCGCCAAAAGCGAGCACCCCAGCCATGCCAAGAGAGTGTTTTCTGGGACGCTTTCCCGTTTTTGGCAGCACTTTTCGCCTGAAAAATGGGAAGCCGCCCGCCACCCCTGAACCCCCCATGAAGCCAATGTACCGAGCTAATGCAAGCCGTGGCTAACTGCAATAAGCCAGAAAACTGAGCCGTGATGACCGAATACTGCCGTTTTTTTGAGTTTTGGCGAATACTCAAATCTCGCTTTTCGGGGGCCTCTTTTCGCAAAAAATAGCCAAAATTAGCAACAGGCCCCTGTTCCACGCCTGTAAAAAGTAACAAGAATGCGAGTGAGCGCGCGAGGACGTCGTGAAGCTGGCTGGTGATCTGTTTTGTGTAGAGATTTGCTCCCAAATAGAATGACCTTCCAACCAACAAGCCTCCCATGGCGACTTTATTCATTCTGGCAGCTGGACTGGCCAGACTGGAGAGAATGGCCACGACAACGAACACACCATCCAGCGTTGAACAACGAAGGCGGTGAGTCTCCTTGGGCTTAGCAATCTACTCTATTTACGGCTAGTTGGACTAATCAGGGCCCCATGTAGTACATCTTGGCGTAAGCGCTTCCAATAGGGGTTGCAAAGTCACCCCTTTTCGCGAAAAATGGCGAAAACTGGTTCATTTTTCGCGAGAAGATCAGGCCCTGAGGCGGCTGCGGTTACCCCGGTACCAAGGTCTTCTGTAGAAGGCCAAAGAATGACAAAGAAAGCGTATGCTCAAATTCGAATGAAATAAAGGAAGGAGCTTAGGACCACATGAGCAGAGCATGGTGAAGTCGGGTTGATGGTGCAGTCATGAGAAAGATCAGCTGATAGTACGACATCTCATAGCGACTTGAAACATGTTGGATTCAGCACTTCAACTTTCTTTTTTCCTCTGTCCTCCTTCTCTTTTTGGTCCTGCCAGAGGGCCTCTATTATAGTTGTAAATGGTGGCAATGGTGGTGGCAAAAGTAGCCACACCAGCTGAACTGGCCACGTCATTTCAGCTCCCCTGAGCCTCTTTTCACCTCGGGTGACCACACTAGAGCTCAGCTGGGATGAGCTCTATTCCACATGCAACCCTTGTCCATCTGACAATAGCCAATCCAACAAAACACGGCTTTGTGGGAATGCGTCTAATCATTCAGAGCTATCATTTATCATTCAAATAATCTTGACTATTCTTGAATGCCTTGAACCAAAAGCATATATTTCTCCCCCTCAGAGTAGGGCAGCGGAAGAGCGCAGAATGCCACCACTAGCTCTACCACAGTTGCTGTCACCAGGAAATACAAAAAGTACTGCATTTAACCTCTAACTTCCTAACCCTCCTAGGCAGGCCGTCACAACGAGTCTCCGGAAGACCTACCTCTGGCCTATATAAGGCCAGTTCTTTCCCTTGGATAGATTTCCTTCCTTCCTCAAGTAAGTCATGCACTCACTACTCTTTGCATTTATACCTTCCTCAAGCCATGCACTCACTACTCTTTGTATTTATATCTTTCATAATACAACTCTTCTTTGTCTTCTTCAGCACTCTCCCTGTCCAAGAAGACCCTGGTCACAGGGCAGAGTTCTCTACAGCCCACGAGGTAGACTATTGAGCAGAGTTCTCACAGCCCAGGTAGCAGGCTTGTAGCAGAGTTCCACAGATCTGTAGCAGTCAGGCTGCTTCCCTCAGTGCCTCTCACAAGGCACTGTTATACGAGACCGTAAGGCATAGTTCCTGCGATCTACCCTGCACTTGGCTCTTACGCTAAACCGCTTCCACTCCCTCCCTACCACACGCAGTTCATCAGTTCCAAACCCGTTCTGAACTACGCTGCGACGACAGGCCCGCGAAGACGCTCTTCAGGTCTCTCGGATGCACTTGCGAGAAGTCGAGGTATAGGCTCTGGTTGAGCGGGAAAGTTGCCGTGTTGTCATCGAGTGTCACGTTGATTGTCACGGCAAGTGCAGACAACTCTGGAATAGTGGGCCCGACCCGGACCCCACTAGACTAGATGGCCCGTGCACCCCACGTCCTATTTCCCTGCGCCCTGCCCAAGCTTTAGAAACTTCCTTTCTTCTTTCTTTCCTTAGCTTTAGATTCTACGAATACAGCGACCATATTGCAGCCTTGTCTCATGCAGTTGACTGTGCGGTGATATTGATCTGCGATCTAGAATATCCGCCGTCCGTTCCCGGAGGCGTTTCTGCATCGGCCACGGGCGCCATCAAGATGGACGCGTGGCTGGGCACCAGCAGCCCGTCATACAAGCGCGCAATGGCAAAGTTGCCGTGTTGTTATCGAGTGTCACGTTGATCTGTGACCCAGATATCCGCCGTCCGTTTCCGGAGGCGTTTCTGCATCAGCTACGGGCGCCATCAGATGGACGCGTGGCTGGGCCCAGCAGCCTGTCATACGAGCGCGCAATGGCTTCTGAGATAGAGCCGGCAACGAACTTTTCAAAACTCAGAGCTGCGGGAGGCTGCGCAGGGCCTCGACGACCGGTTGCGAGCGGTCGCGGTGCTGCTTGCTCGCGAGCAGCGTGTCGTGCACGAGGGTCGCGGTGCTGCTTGCTTGCGAGCCGCGTGTCGTGCACGAGGCCGAGTTCCGCAAATTGTAACCTTTATTATTATAGTTGTCGGAGAGGTCTCTAACTCCAGATAGGATCGAGACCAGAAAAAAGCATTGCGTGGCTGAACTAACCGGATTCGTGGCTCGGCTAAGAGCTTGATTTTTTCCAAAATCGTCTTCCTGAGCCTTGGGAGGCACATCACGTTTACGCTTAACCTTCTCCCTTCTATGGCCGCGGCGCCGCCGTGGCCCATCCAGAGTCGTGAGACCTCCGTCGTGGGACGCGGCGCAGAAGTAGAAGCGCGGAGAGTATGTACGCTCATCCCATGACGCAGCGGCACTGCGGAATGCGCTGTTTATGTCCACCGAGCCATACAGAGAAGGGCGGCAGCCAGCAGATGCGCATCGACGGCGCCAGAGGCGAGGGCCGGTCGAATCGCGTACTAAGCCAGATTCCACGGTGAGCCCCGGGGCGTCAGGGAACTGCAGACGGCGGGCATCAGCGCCGGAATCCTGGTGCGGGTAAGGGGCGTCGGTTCGGCCAAGAGCCGAGGATAAACAATAACCAGAACTACTCGACGTACCGTGACGGTGGCGTGTACCTGCTGCGTAGTCTAGTGGCCGTGCCGCACCTCCAAGCTGATCCCCGAGGTCATTGGCCGCGAGATTGAGAAGGCCAACAAAAAAGGTCCCCGCATACGCTTGTGCAGTTTGAGGCCGCCTGGGCGTTGACCAATATCGCGTCCGGCTCGGCCACCCAGACCCAGGTTGTTATCGAGGCTGGCGCCAGGGGCCGTGGCAATGACGGTGCTTCCGGGGGCCGTGGCAGTGACTGTAAAGGCGGTTAGCGGGATCGGATGTCGGCGGTAGACGGGCAGCACTGGGAACTCGTTCAGAATAACCCTGTTGCCAATGAGGGTGTCAGACATGTGGTTTGTGAGATGCGAATCTGCAGCACCATTTCTGGCCGCAGCTTCTCGTGATTTCTGGCGCCGCACCACAGTAGCTGTAGCACCACTCCCGTCGTTTCTAGTGCCCAACCACTCGCGCTCAATCGCCCCGACGCAATGGCCGAGTGAGTGAAGATGTCGAGACGTCTTTCGTGGCTTGTCTTGTCTGTCCCGACTGAGCGGTGGCCGCCTATTGTTTTGTCATGGAAACCGGGGTTTCTTCTCGTCGCACGGCAACGCCTCTTACCTTTTTTGTCGACGACGACAGCGGCAGCGTCCCGCGCTTTCGAGGCCCCCGAAGACGGCGGAACCCTGCCAAATTCGGCGGGCGCAGAGTCGTCCGTGGTGTTGCGGACCTGCGAGCCGGTTGTCGCGTCGGCGTCGAGCGTGAAGCTAACGGTGGCGGCCCTCCAGGCGTCTAGGGCCGGGGACGAGCGCGGGCGGGTCGGAAAGAGCGGGTTTTTTGTAATTACATCGGGCGATAGCAACTAGATGATCTTGGACGGCGACGACGATGACGGCATAGGCGGCACCACCACCGCCAGCGCCCAGTTTTAGAGAATGGCTAGCGCAACATTCCGAGCGTGCCATTGTCTTTCCGTCCAGTTGCAGGACCGACGGCCGAGCCGGGCAACGCGCAGATTGCTCGCGTTATACACCAGCCGTTGCGAGACCTGCCATTTGTGGTAATATTGACGCCAGAAACATTCGAGAATGTCTCGCAGAGCGTGATGCGCGCAGTGCTTCGAGCCGTTCGCCGGGAGACGGAAACGCTGCTCGGCTTCGCCTGCGGCCATGAGAGTGAAAAAAAAAAGGTACCTTGGGTAGGTGTACGTCAAGCAAAACGACAGGCAGCTGCCGCGGGCGGTGTGGGTTGGCGTTCTCCCTGACACTGTTAGTGTCAGAACACTGGGTTGGCGTTCTTTGCTGATACTATGGGTTGGCGTTCTGACACTGGTATAGACAAGTATTCCTACAGACATGGTGTGGGCTGGCGTTCTTTGCTGACACGGGCTGGCGTGCGGGTTTTCTCTCATGGCGCCTACAATCTCTCTCAGGCTAGTTTCTACCCTCGCCAAGTTGTATATCCTCAGCTGTGCGCCATGCCCGACGCCCTACCGTCAAATACTTCTCTCGAGCAGCAGCTCCAAGAAAGAGAGAGATAAAGGAACGGAGTGGACTCACAACGAGGGGGATTGGGACGAGGGGCTTGTGACTCACCTTCATCTATGGGTCTCGGATTCTCTCTCATCGAGAGCAAGTCCATCTTTGCCACTGTAAGGGAAGGTAGGTACGCCTGATCAAGGTGGTCACAATGCAGGCAAGAAGGTAGGGGAGCAATGACTTGTATTGGTGTAAGACTTCAACCTGGCCCTCGCAAAGGAAGATGGGCGAGGGCCATTGTTTATATACCTGCTCAGGGGTTCGGCCCGGGCATCAGTCTGCGGTCGTGGCGCCACGGCGTAGCGTATGCCAGCTGGCAGTGTTCTAGCCAGTTGGTGACAAGTGGTGGGCGCGCACCCTGTGCGCGCAGTTGGTGTTTGGGGTGTCCTTTTCCTTACAGCCACCAGCTTCCATCTCTATGGGGTAGATGCCACCGTATTAGGACGAGTGAAGGGGGAGAGAGAGACGGCTTGGACTCACAACTCGGGATTGTCGAGCTGAGGATCTCATGCAGGGCAAGTCTGCTTTGCCACCAGCTTCCATCTCTGTTTCGGGGTAGATGCCACTGTCAGCAGGAAAGGAAAGAGGGAGACGGCTTGGGACTCACCTTCCATCTCTGGGTCTCGGATTCTCTCATGGAAAGCAAGTCCGCTTTACCACCAGCTTCCATCATCTCTGTTTCGGGGTGGATGCCACTATATCAGCAAGGGCAAGGAAAGAAGTGGGAGGGGAGGGGGCTTGGGACTCTGGGGATGCCACTATCAGCGGGAAAGGAGAGGGAGAGAGACAGCTTGGACTCACAACTCGGGATCGTCGAGCAAATCCGTCTTCCACCTGTCTGTGCCACTTGTCGTCTTGCCACCCTGATGTGTCGAGGGATGGTAATGCCACGCCCATCTTGTGGAATGGCCGACTCTGTTGAAGGGTGCGTCGCTGTCGTTGTTGTTGTTATTGCGGTTGTTGCTGTTGTTGTTGAGGTTGTTATTGCGGTTGTTGCTGTTGTTGTTGAGGTTGTTGCTGTTGCTGTTGTTGTTGAGGTTGTTGTTGTTGTTGTTGTTGTTGTTGTTGTTGTTGTTGTTGTTGTTGTTGTTGTTGTTGTTGTTGTTGTGTTATTGCTGCTGTTGTTGTTGTTGATACAGGGCACGCCTTTCACTCTTTGTTGTTGCTGTTGTTGCTGCTGCTGCCGCTGCTTCCCGCAGTCGACGCGTGCCTCGAGGTTTGGTCCGGCGAGTGTCAGCAAGGCAGTGACAAGAGGAAGGCAGTGTAACGAGAAAGAAGCACCTACAGGATGGCTAATCAAGACCGCAATATAGATTGTCGTTACAGGCCGTGACGGCTGCGGGATGTCAGCGCAGTGCAGCACGGGAGGAAGTAGTGTAGCACGGGCAAGAGGAAGGCAGTGACGAGAAAGACGCGCCTATAGTTGCTGATTCAAGACGAGCCATGTGGATTGCTATCGTTGAAGGTGACGGCTGCGGAATGTCAAGGCACAGCGAGAAAAGAGACGCACCTGCGTTTGGCGGGATAGCTTGCGAGCCATTGCTGTGTCGAAGGCCGTGACGGCTGCGGTAGGGTATCAGCAAGGCGTGCAGCACAGGGAAGAGGAAAGCAGTGCAACGAGAAAGAAGAGAGTACCTGCGTTTAGCGGGATGGCTGACCCAAGACCGAGCCAGATTGCTGTGTTGTGTCAAGACAAGACAATGCCGATTGCTGTGTCGGAGGGAAAAGGCGTGACGGCTGTATAGATTGCTGGCAGGACACGGTGACGGGCAACGGTAAAGGCCGTAACGGGGATGGCTTGCGAGTAGATGCTGTCGTTGCAGGACACGGTGACAAGGCCGGACGGAGGCGGCCGGATGGCTGCGGACGGCAGCATAAGGCCGGGACGGCTCCGGCTGGCGGTGTCAGCAAGGCAGGGCAACGAGAAAAGACGCACCTGCGTTTAGCGGGATGGCTGATCCAAGACGGCAATGTAGATTGCTACGGAAAAGGCAGAGGAAGAGAAGAGAAAAACCTGCGAAGCGAGTCATAGATTGCGTGGCAGGGCGTGTTGTCCTTGGAAGTAACATGGGAAGACGGCATGCACTTGGAAGGTGCAACACGGGAAGGGGGTAGCACATGGGAAGAAGGTGCAACACGAAGAGAGCACCCACAGGATGGCTTGGTTCTAGACCGAGTTGTCAAGGGAGCACCTGCAGTTTGGGAGATGGCTTGGTTCTGGACTGAGCCGTGTAGATTGTAAGTGTTACGAGGCAGAGGAGAAGGAGCACCTGCAGTTTGGGGGGTAGCTTAGCTCTAGACCGAGCCGTGTGGATTGCATGTGTCACGAGGCAGAGGAGAAGGGAGCACCTGCAGTTTGGGGGATGGCTACCGAGTCTGCTTAAGTGCACAGTTTACAGTTTACAGGTTACTAGAAAAGACGCGGTAGATTGCTCGAGATCTATCTGTCCGCAGGCAAAACATGTATAGGAGATAAACACGGCGAATAATAACAAAAACCCAAATGAGCCACGGCAAAAGCGACCCTAGGTAGTTCACTATCTACTGCCCTGCTAGTTCACCACCTGCTGCGCTCCTCTGATGGTGACCAGACTAACCGAATAGCCTCCTGTGCTCCTCGGCTGGCGGCATGAAGGACCGCATGGCTTTTCGGAGGTCGTCCAGAGCGAGCCGGATGTCCCCCAGGCGTACTCCATATCCCCAATAGAGGATGGCTGCCACCCACTGGTGGAGGCGTATAAAGTCGCTGTTGTCCGAAAGTAAGAAAGAGGCCACCCGCTGGATATAGAAAACCTGATTTTCATCCTCGTCGACTCCCCACTGATCTCTTTCCTCCTCGACTCCCCGCTGATCTTCAACCTCCTCGACTCTCCACGCAACATAGAGCTGAGCGACGGTATTGTTAATGGCTAGGCTGTAGCAGCGATTGGGAATATGTACGTCGGCTCCGGCCTCCCAGAGTCTCGCGTTGAGTTGGTTGATAACCTGGATGCAAGCGGCCAAGCCACCGGCACACTGGTTCGCCGCGGTCCAGAGGCTTCTATTAGTCCCTGCATCAGCCTTAAACTCGAGGACTAAGAAGGGGAACAACAGGTCCGTGAACGCGTCTGCGTAGTATTGAATCTCCTTGTGGAGCCGGCGTAATGTCGTCCGCTGTGGCAAGGTGAAAGTAGGTATAGCATGATAACCATAGAGCAGGTCAGGGCGTGGCTGTGTAACTCCCGTCTCTTCGTTAGGTACGAGGTGACAAGCCATGTTCGCGTCGCCCGATAATGACAAAGATCCAGTTCGGTCATCAGCGGGAAAGATACGGGCTTCGAAGAATTTGCAGACATCACGCTCCTTACATCTCTCACCCAGTTTTTCCAGCTCGTGGATGGCCTGGACCACAACCTCGGGGGAGAGCTCAAGCATCTGACGCATGATAAGTTAGGTGGGGGGGTAAGCGAACACTACTGATTTAGAACATTCTGTATAAGCAGGAGTCCCAACTAACCCTCCAACAAAAGAAAGGGTGATCTTTTTATTTACAAAACTTCAATACAATCTTTGATATCCTCTGAATCATCCGCTTCTTCCGCATCTTCTAAAACCTCTGCTGCACGCCCTACAGCTCTCTGGGCCTCACGAATAGTCTGAATATTCGCAAAGGTGGTATTTGGATCTTCTTCAACCTTCTTCTTCTTTCTGGCTCTTATTGATTCGAGAGTGTGTTCTAGACCTTCAATCTTTCGCTTCCTAATAGCCAGTTCAAAGGCCTGTTCATCCAAAGCCTTACCAATCTTTCTGAGGAAGAGCTTATCCGCTGGCATTGCTTTGATGATGCGTGCGAACTTCTTTGCCTGCTCAACGTAATCACGTGCCTTTCTAGGAGTCCTCCACTGCACCCGATCGTCTCCATAATCCTCCAGGATTGGCATACGGAGTGTGCGAACCTCTGGGGTAACTATAGTAGTTCTTAAGGGGCGTGAAGTATTAGAATTCTTGAGGAGGAGTGGGCTTCTTAGCGGTTTGTTGACATTCAAGGGCCAAAGGCCTGATGCCTTCCATCCTGACTTAGCATTACTCTAGGTAATTGCCTCTGTGTGTGAAATCTGGTAGCATTCCAGAAACGCACGTTTTCCGGCTACAGAAGAGTCGTCAAAGGCGTTAGCAAGAAGGTCCTCAAGCCGTCTGCGATAAAGTCGTTTTAGGGGGCCAAATATGGCCAAATCTAGGGGTTGGAGGACATGGGAAGTATGGGGAGGCAGATAAATAATGTGAATATTGTTTGTGAATGCCTCCCACATATAATCGGCAGTTGTGTGGCTGCCATGGCCATCAATAATAAGGAGTCGTTTCTCAGAGGAGTTTGCTGGCTTGGTGAGAGGAATGAACACATTTTTTAACCATTTGAGGCTTGTCTCATCGGTAGTCCATCCTTTCTCAGTTGCTGTAAAGAACCAATCCTGAAATGGCTTCATATCCAAAGGAAACCATTGTTGTTGAACGCTTTTCCCCTTAAAAATGACCAAAGGAGGAAGGCAACGGCCAGCTGCTGAGATGCATTCGACAAAAGTGGTCCAAGTGCGGGTTCCAGGCTGTTTTTTTTGAAGCGCCTTAAAGGCACGGCTTCCAATGACAAGGCCGTTGGTTCCTCTGCCTTCCATAATACCAGATTCGTCCTTGTTCCAGCGATTCTCTGGCTTAATCGCCTTGATAGCTGGTGTTTGGAAATGGTTGAACCAAGGTCGAATTGTTGACTCTGTAGCGCAGTTGACGCGGACCGAATCGACTCTCTTGGCCCTCTGAGTCTTCAAAATTCGATTGCGGTTAAGAAAGGCACGGCACCACCCCTTTCCAAGTGGTAAGGAGTCCCCCCTTTCAGCTAGAATACGGCGTGCAAGCTCCCTGATCTGTGCATGTGTAGGGGGCAATCCTAAATCTTGTTGAAGAAGAATCCATTCGACTAAACGATCCTCTTGGGTCTGTGTAAGCCTTTGCTCATCTTGATGAGCAACATTTCGAGGTAGGGAGCCATGTAGACGGCCATAAAGGGTGGAGGGTGGAACGTTCCATTTTCGCGCGACTTTGCGTAATCGATGTGTTCTGACGGCTTCCTCGCAAGCCTTGCGGAGGTCTTCTTCTGTATATGAAACCATTGTCAAGAGAAGAATAAAACGAATTGAAGATGAAGAGAATTGGAAAAGAATTGGTTGAGTTATGGGCTTTTTATATAAGAGGGTTGGTTATGTTCCTCGCTTATCTAGAATGTTCTGGATCAGTGGCGTTCGCTTACTCCCCCACCTAACTTACATGTATATCCATTTATCTCATTCTAGAGTTGATTTAATTTATTTCCTTGCAGTATTCCGTTCACACTACGGACCCCCGCAGTCAAGATCTGTGGTCGTCTAACTTCTTTGTGACAACCGAAATCGGCAGATAAATCCGTGCTAGGAGAGGTGAGACGTGTGTTCCCCACGGTTCACCGACGAACAAGATAGATGCAGAGTGCAGCTTTTTAGCAGTTTGGGCTTGTAATTCGGTCTCGTGTTTTAATTATTTTAGCTTTCGTTTGTCCGAGCAGGAGAGGTTTGCAGATTTGCTCAACCCGCGTACGACGACGAGACACACCGCAGCAGGTGCACTCCAACAGCACACACCAACAGCATACACCAACAGCAGGTGCACTCCAACAGCACACACCAACAGCCCGGTGCACTCCAACAGCAGGTACACACTAACAGCACACTCCAACAGCAGGTACACACCAACAGCACAACCAACAGCACACTCTAACAGCCCGTCATACAATAGCAGGTGCTAGTACTAGATTTATTAGGGGATGCCGTTGTCTGTGATGGGCTGCTGTCCTGCAGCCCTGTACGCGTCGAAAAGCGCTTGGCAAGACACAGCTGCCTGCTGGCCCCTGGCCGTCTGACAGCTTATCGCCGAGTTCCTGCCCTCGACATCTGACTAGACTCTGATGATGGGATCAGGCGAGGATGCCAAGGCGTCGCCCCATCCTTCAGAATTTGACACGCAGCATCTAATAGGCGGCCACGTGGGAGTATTCGGCGCCCTAACCGGCCTACCCACCGAGCAGCTAGGTGAAGATCACAGAACATTTCCCTTAGCATTTTACTAGCTAACGTTTTCAATTCCTCTAGGCTCCTCGACGCCGTTCGCAGATCTTCTTGGCTTCTCGACGCAGACCTTCCTGGCACCTCGACGTCTCCCTCGACGCCTCCTCTACCCGGTCAATCCTGACTTTCCTGCCTGACCGAGAGAGGCCCGACGGTGAGCCAGTCAAACGGCGACCAAGAAAAAAGAGCCGCGTACCGATTGCCTGCAAGGAAACAATGAAGAGGGTTACAGCACCAGACAGTACCGTGCTTTTCGAGCCGAAGCTCGCGACAACCCCGCCATCCTTCAACTAGAAGAAAGCCATGCCCGCCAACCAGGAGACGTTTATGGCGCGGCTGCAGCTGGGCTGCTGCTGGCAGTTCATCACGCTGGCGGGCTGCACACGACGGCGCGGCTGCACACGACGGCGCTCGCGTCGGACAGGTTCGGCGAGAAACACGGTCGCTACTTGGCTCTCAATGGTTACGTCTTGCTTATTCCGTGCATCCCAGTTTGTGATTTAATTCTCTTCAAATAGTCATTTCTGAGCGGGCACAAACACGAGGCAGCATGTACCGATGCGTGGTTGTGGCCGTTAAGGTCCTTGGTTTTCTTTTTTCTTCTTTTTTTATTTTCTTCCTTTTTGTTTTTGTCTTATCTTGTTTTTGTCCTATTTTGTTTTAAAGAAGCAAGTATGTACCGATGCGTAGTTGTGGCCGTTAAGGTCCTTGGTTTTCTTTTTTCTTCCCTTTTTATTTTCTTCCTTTCGGTTTTTTCTTATCTTGTTTTTGTCCTATCCTGTTTTTGTCTATTGTTTTTGTCTATCCTATTTTGAAAGGCGCGTTGAACGACACTGTAGCCCGAGCTCAGTGCAACTGGTGGGCTGTGGTTCATAGGCGAGACTGCGATAACGTAAACTCAACAAAGAGCCGGCAGCGTGGCCGAGCGGTCAACTGCCTCCGTAGGGAAATGGTAACCCGTCAGACTCCTGATCTGAGGATTGTGGTACGTTCCGCGTCCAACGCACTAACTGGTTTGATCTGATGCTAACAAAACATCAGGGTTCGAGTCCCGCCGGAGGTTTTGATTTCATTTTTTTTTCATTATGTTATAATTTACAAAATCAAGTGGCAGCTTCTAGGTCCTTCTTTTGGTCATAATCCCTATTGTCGTGACACGTATCGATTACATTTTTTATTTTTTAGCTACAACTTGGAAAGGCAATTGATAGGGAGGCATGACGAATTGATAGGGAGGCATGACCCTTAGGGAAGCATGAAAATCCCGGTCGTTGATTGGCCCAATTTTTATTGTTAGTGCAAGTGAATTCTGCCACCAACCTTCCGAAGTCCTGTCTCAACTGACCCACAGAAGCTGCCCAGAGCTCCCTTCAGCTTGACGCGTTAAATCCAATGCACGTAACGAAGCGAAGCCATCACAAGCCTTCTTGACGAAGAATCCCTTGCTTTGCCAATATGGAAACCCGTTCGAGTCGCCATTCGAAGCGACAAGTAGGGAGCGATGATCTTGACAATCAGTCGCATTCTCGGAAGCGCCAACGAACCAACAACAATACCCCACGATCCGACCCTTCGCCCTCGCGATCGGCCGTAAGCCAAAGCTCCAGTATTGGGCAATGGTACGGCATTGGGGATGAAGATGTATTGAGCAACCTCTTTGCTTCTCACCCGGAAACGTTTACTACTGTCCCATGCCCCAACGGATCACACGGGCTCTATGCGCCCATGCGCCCACGTGGCAGTTGCGATCCGACTATAAGCTTTACTTTTCGTACGATTTCCCTAGACCGGGGGGCAATCGATGCAAGTCACGATACCGATACCCGGGCCAGAGCCTAATTTGCTGGCCAGTTCCTCTCCCGAACCAAGCCAGCAATCCAACGGACCTCTCTCTCCTCAGACGCAGTTCCGATCTGCCCTGCGATTGATCCGAGAGGTCTGTAAGGAAACCACCCTCGTAACCACCATGGCCACTGCCACCAGGGCCACCCTCGCCACTATCGCCACTATCGCTACCGCTAACAGGGCCACGCACTATCGCCACTACCACCCTGGCCACGCAAGGATGACTCGTAACCCCTTTCACGTGTATATAGACCATGGCCTTCGCACACTTCTTTAGCTCAGGCCAGGTTGAAGTCTTACGCCAATACCAGTCATTGCTCGCCTTGCTTGTTGCTCCTATTGTGACCACCTTGATCAGGCGTACCTGCCTTCTCTTACATACAGGGCACAGCTGAATGACTTGCTTTCTGGCCTAACCATCGACTCTGTAGCTGCAAAACGAGCCTTTTTAGAATGCTATAGGCGCGCCGAAATCTACGGAATGACCGAGTCAAATATCAAGGCTAGTTGGAAGGCCTCAGGGTTGTGGCCAGTCTCCCTAAGGAAGCCCCTAAGCAACAGCCTCGTTATTAAGAATTCCAATGGCTGCATTAGTACGGCAGCCCCCACACCTTCTGCAGGCCTTGAGTCGTTCAATAACCCTATTCTGGGCAAGAATTTGTAGGGCCGGCCTTTGTGGTTTGCCCCTAAAAAGGCCAAGGATTTCTCGGCTCAGGGGGAGCGTTTTCTACGTGGTACTAAACGTACTGCCAGCGAACGGCTTTTTATGCAGAAAGCCTACAAAGGATTCGATAACATGGCCTTCTAATTGGCTACCATTCGACAACAATTTCAAGCGGCCCAGGAAGACCTCGAACGTGCGAGAGGCCGGAAGAGAAGGAGGGTGGAAATCGACCCCAATAAGGCCTTTACTAGTATTGAGGAGATCCGCCGCGCACAAAGATTAGCTGCTAAAAAGAATGTTATAGATTCTACAATTTCAGAAGAAGAGGAATCTGACACTGCAATCTGTATTAACGTAGCTATCTAATTGACGAATCTGTGAGCAATTGAATTTTATGATGTGGTGGGGTGGCAATTTTAGTGCGTGGTCTAAAAGGGGGTTGGTCTAAAAGCTGGTCACCTAACTTACCAGATGGAGAACGCAGGAGGCACGCAAGAGTAATAATGAGAACGACCGAGAAATGCCCCACACCACGACCACTACAGTGCCCGGAATCAGGTACCAGACGGGGAACGTAGTAGGCACGCAAGAGTAATAATGATAACGACTAAGAAATGCCCCCCGGGTAAGACCCCATGTAGGCACGGCGCCGAGCTTTCTCGGTACTGCTTGGTGATTATTTCCATGTCTCCTAGCAATCTCGGAGGGATACATTTCCAGCACTGACAATGTCCCAAGATCGGACAGACGGAAGCCTCGAAAAAAGTCTGCCGTAACACGTGCTGTATCATCTAGCTACCTAATTACTCAGGCGCCTACCCTGGGGATTTCGCTCACACATTTAGTTTGGATTTCGCCCACACGTTTAGTAGGGAGATTTCTTCCTCCACGAGTTAGCCAATGCACATTTGTCCACCAACACAACGACCGTGTCTCGTTAATCTCGGCCTCTAAAATGTCCAAGGATGATATTGTACTACCTAATTACTTGGCAGGTTGTGGAAATCAGCCATCTCCATGGAGCCCCCACCAGTGCGCGCCCGGAGACAGACCAAGGAGGCCGAGGTTTGGGAGCTTCTCGAGCCTCACCGAAAGCATCTGCGAAGACTGATTTTGTGGCCTTTGACGAGCACTTAAACCGGCTGCTTATGGTCTTGCTCTGGCTGATGCAAGCGACAAGTCACTTGCGGGCAGGACTTTGGAATTCCGCACGCACAATTTCATCGTCAATCTCGGCGTTTGCATCAAAATCCGCAGCACCGCCATGGCTTTTGAGAGTTCCAGAAAGGGCAGGGAATCTGACTAGGTCGAAGATTGTCCGTTTTCTTCAAACGCCTCTACCCGGATTCGCAACCCACAATCGAGGCCGCCGAGGCTAGCAGGGAGAAAGAACAGTGCAGCCTACCTCCTGTTCCCTAAACCGACAACCCCCTCTTCACAAGCACCGAACACACAAGGAAGCAAGTGTGGCAGGGAGAAAGAGCAGCGCAGCCTACCCGACAGGCACCTTCGAACACAAAAGAAGAAGGGCGGCAAGAAGGGCGGCAGGGAGAAAGAACAATACAGCCTACCCAACAGGCACCCTCGAACACAAAGGAAGTAAGGGCGGCAGGGAGAAAGAGCAGCGCAGCCTACTTCCAGCTCCCTAAGCCGACAATCTCTTCCTCACAGCCAACCCCCTCCTCACAGCCAACCTCCTCGTAGGCAACTCCCTCCTCACAGCCTACCCGACAGGCACCCTTGAAAATACAAGGAAACAAGAAGGGCAGCAGGGAGAAAGAGCAGCGCAGCCTACCCAACAGGCACCCTCGAACACACAAGCAAGGGTGGCAGGGAGAAATAACAGTGCAGCTTCCTCCAGTTCCCCCCTCAGCCGACAACCCCCTCTTCACAGGCACCCTCAAACACAGAAGGAAGCTCACAGTCAGCTCCCTCCTCACAGCCAACATCCTCACAGCCAACCCCCTCACAGCCTACCCAACAGGCACCCTCGAACACACAAGGAAGCAAGGGCGCAGGGAGAAAGAACAGTACAGCCTATCTCCAGCTCCCCAAACCAACAACCCCTCCTCACAGCCTACCTAACAGGCACCCTCAAACACATAAGCAAGGGCGGCAGGGAGAAAGAGCATTGCAGCCAATACCAGATCAAGATGCCAAAGAGTTAGAAACATCACAAGGAAACAAGAGCGGCAGGGAGAAAGAACAGTGCAGCCTACCTCCAGTTCCCCCCTAAATCGACAACCCCCTCTTCACGGGCACTCTCGAAAACACAAGGAAGCTCACAGCTAACTCTCTCCTCACAGCCAACCTCCTCACAGCCAACCCCCTCACAGCCTACTCAACAGGCACCCTCGAACACACAAGAAAGCAAGGGCGCAGAGAGAAAGAACAGTACAGCCCATCTTCAGCTCCCTAAACCGACAACCCCCTCTTCACAGGCACTCTCAAACACACAAGGAAGGACGGCAGGGAGAAAGAACAGTACAGCCCATCTCCAGCTCCTTAAACCGACAACCGGGTAGCTGGGATGAGAGTAAGAGTCGGTCGACAAGAAGCGTGTGCAAAGATGAGGGAAACGCAATAGGAACCAAGTTGTCGGGGGAGACGAAAGGAAGGGAGTATTTATTCCGTGGCTGTTACCTCTGGCCAGTGTGTAGTGTGACTAGTTCACATAGAAACATGCCTTCATAACCTTGCAAGTGAGAATTGCGCGGCTATGTCTTGGGTCATCGTCTAGCCGCGATTGGAGGCCCCTGTGGCAAAGGCTGCGGTATTAGCTGGAAACACTTTCGGTTGTGCTCTTGGCTGCGGAATACCCGGTCCAACAGAGTTGCTAGATAGGGTTGACGGCTCGGGGGGCAATTCTGGGCTTGGCAATGCTACCAAGTGCTACCAAGATTGTGTTTCCGGTACACAGTAACACCTGTGCCCATTTGCTATGATGTGACGTCAATGAGATGATTATATTCCATCGCACTCATTAAACCTTTGACTTAGCGCTCTTTACCGAGTCAACGTCCTTTTCATTTTAGACATGCTGTGACACAGCGCTCTTTACCGAGGCAACGTCCTCTTCATTTTAGACATGCTGTGTAGTCACAGCCACCTCATTTGTCGTCCTCGTCGTCCTCGTCGTCCTCGTCGTCCTCGTCATCCTCGTCGTCCTTGTCGTCCTCGTTGTCCTCGTCATCCTCATCGCCTTGGAGTTGCTTATTCTTCGCAGGGTCGGATTCATGGCGACCGAGCTTGCAGCCGTCCTCATGACCACGCTTTTCGCAGCAGGTCCAGATTAATCCTTCCGGGTACGATTCTTGAATTTCTCCTGTGTCGACCGGGCCATAGCAGTTTTCATCGTAGTCGGCCCAGGTATCGCAACCATAGTCGGGCTCTATGACCCCTGCGTGTTGATTGTCAGCTGAGCCCCCGAGTAGAGGCAACGCAGTAGACGCAAATGAGAAGGAAATGTGGATATCGAATAACAAGGCGAGAAAAATAAACGACACTATCAACGCACCATTGTAGTATTAGCACTCCTTAGCAGTCTTGTCTGCCTTGTCAAACGAGGTTTCGCACTGGACGCAGATGCTCCTGTCAGACTGCAACAGCACTTCTAGGATTGTGTGCACCAGAGTGAATTGCTCTTCTTCTCGTCCTCCAGTCTTTCCACAAAAGACTCTCTCTCTTATACTTCCTTCTGTGGCAATTACATGACGAAACCCAGTGGCGAAGATTACGCATCATAGATTCCAGAACCTTCTAGGCCATTCCATCTGACAGAAGGTGGGTTGCAGTAGAAGGTGGGTGCAGTGGAAGGGGGTTGCAGTGAAGGTGGGTTGCAATGGAAGATAGGTTGCAGTGGAAGAGGGTTGCAGTGAAAGTGGGTTACAGTGAAGGTGGGTTGCAGTGGAAGGTAGGTTGTAGTAGAAGGTGGGTTGTAGTAGAAGGTGGGTTGCTGTAGAAAGTGGGTTACAGTGGAAGGTGTAAGGTTCGGTTACGTTGTGGTAAAAAGTAGTAAATTACTACGCGGCAGAATCTTGAATGTACTGGATGTGACGGCGGTCAACAGCATCTAGGAAGAAGAGTCGCTAGTATGGCTATACCATTGTCGTAGGATTCTAAAAGTAAAGAAAGAAAGAAAGAAAGTCTACAAAGGTACGATCGAGGGTGCGGGGGTATAGTGGGGTGCCGAGAGCGCACGGGCCATTATGGTTTGCCCTGCCAAGGCTCGTGACACTGGAGGGCGGTTGGTAGCCAGGGTTACGGTTATGTATGGAGGACCACAGTGCATGGCGACGATTTAACAGTGGATAGAAACTCTCTTAAAAAAAAGTGAAAGAGAAATTTTAGACTAGAATAGACCTGGTCATACACACGTCCACACAGGAAGCGAAGCATGCCTTGACCTCACCTTTTCCTGTGCATACCGATCCAGACAGCTAGCTTATTATCTACGCTAAGATACACAGCAGAAACACACGAGGCAGCCGTTTCTGTGCATGTACAGCTACTTGCTTGCCAGCTTGTGCAGGACCTAGGGCTCGATAAGCCGCCCCGCAGACGAGGACCATCCCGTGGCCGCGCTCAAGAGACAGCCTCATCACACGCTTCTCCTCTAACTCAGCCCGCACTATAGAAAACCGCCGCGCAGTGCTGGCTGCTTATCCGGAGGAACTTCTCTTCCACCAGTGAGCGCTAAATTACCTACGTCGTGCGATTTGCTCGAACAAGGTTATCTCTTCTCCCGGTTTTCAAAATCGACTTGATGAATTACAGGCATGGGCGTCAGACGTCTTCAACTTGTTTCCGTCTTTTTGTCCATTGTCTTATGCTCCGGACTGCCTGGCTTTGTGAGCAGAGCTTGATGACGGTGCCAAAAGCCGTACTCAGGCCTTGCCATCATTGCTCTGTTTCTGTGTTTATTATCAACTGGAAGAAGCGCCGAGGTAGCAAGATTATGCTCCTGGGAGGTGGAGGAGATGGCCCCCTCCAGGTAGTCAACCCAGGATCCTCAGTGGAAGCAACCTAGAAGTGCCAAGGGAAAATTCCTCGGGTAGTCTGGGGTGTCGGGGCACCCTGTGCAGCGCGGCGATATGCTCTGCATTCTGTTTGGATGCAAGTGGCCGGTTGTTCTCCGGCCGCGTTGTGCGGAGAGAGAAGGCTTTTCGCTGGTCACAATCGCGTACTGCGACGACATGATGCACGGGAGGCTCTCGGGGCGGCAGCGTCGGATTTCACGCGTGATGAGAGTTCAGGCACATCGACTACTGCAGTGGTCTTACATAATAACGGAGGACAAGGGAATCGCTATCAACCAAATAACAACACAATCGCCCTTCCAGAATGGACTGGTTGGAGTCTCTTTCCAATATCAGTCATTGCTCACGCCCTTCAGTATCTTTATCGTAACCACCTTAATTAGGCGTACCTGCCTTCCACTTATACCGGGTATCAGTTGCAAACGAGTTTAGAACTAGTTGAGGATATGAACTTCGTGTAATGTTCACATTGCTAATTTTAGTAAGAATACTTAATAGACGCTGCAAAATTGCTCTGGGTCTGAGGAAGAGACTGTGGCTTCACCCAAGAGAGGGCGAGGTAGAAATGGACGGGGCGAATAGCGCCCGTACCCTCCGGATGTCAACCCGCAGCACTCTCGTCCCACCGCTAGCTAGCTACGTGATCAGCAGCCTAGTATGCGCGCTTTGGCCTGGCAAGCGACCTTTGCCAGGTCCCAGCTATCCTTTCCACGCGTTTTTTCTCTCTTCTCCAACAGTCTCGCCTTTATCTTTCCTTAAACGGCAAAGTTCCAGACCATTCTTCCCGGGCTCCAGCGCGGTAAATTCGTCAGATAGCTCCGTCTTATTCGCCCTCATATTGGACCCGGTCGGCTAGGCGCTTACTGACGAGGACATTAGGCGACAAATCCGGTTGAGGCGAGCGAGAGCAATAAGATATCCACACCCCGCGTTTGGTGGCTTGGTCAGCCGCTTGTTGATGCATTAGCGCCAAATTCCGGCCGTGCCGTCAGCGCCAGTCAGCAGTGGAAATTATTCGCCCATATCGTAACCTAGCAAACTGACCCCTGCAGGGCTTCCGTTTCTTCCATTTTTCTACTACTTCTTCTTGACTACAAGCTGTGCCTTCCGGTTAGCTCGCAATTGCTTACAGAACTGGTCCATAGAAGAGCCAGTCCGCTGCTGTTGTAGATGGACGATATACATCGCAGCCTCCTCGCCAATACGGCGGTTCCGCGCAATACGCTCGATTTCCCTAATGACCTCCAGCCGTAGAGAATACCACTGCAGCTCTGTCCGCCGGCCTGCCCGCCAACTATGGCCCCACCGACTATCTAAATCACGTACGGCTGGCTGGCCGTGTAGACCAACAGTCCATTCCTTCCAAAGACCCTCTACCGTTTTGATGGCGCGGCTCATGCTATACTGCGGTGGTTGCCCTGCAGTAGGTGGGCTAGCCGGCGCTGCAGGTGGGATAGCCGGTTCTGCAGGGGGTGCCGGTTCTACAGAGGTTGCCGGTCCTGTGGTAGCTGTAATGGCAACTCCCATCGTGCCATCTGAGCCTGTATTAGTTGCTTTGATGTAGACTGTTAGGCCATTTGAGAGCAGTGATAGAATATGGGAGCCTTGTTGTGACTGACTACTAAGTGTCTTCTCAAGCTTCTGGTCCAGTTGAGTAATCCGTACCTCGTTCCGCATATCGATCGACTGGAGGAAGTCAGAGAGGACAGGCATAGCCTGTGTCAATACTGCTAGTTGGCTTGGCCTCTCTTCTTCTTGCGTAAAGGCCCGGATCTCCTGTGCGTATTGGAGATATGCCCTATGCTGAAAGACTGGATGGAGCCAGACTGGGCTCCTTGGATACCTCAGCATAAGGAAAGCTGAGTCCTGAAGGACTACCTCGCGAAGGTAGAAAAGCAAGTTCGTCAAGCCCATTGCTGCAAGGTCGTTGGCTTGCCCAGGACCAGATCCAAATCGGCCCTCCCACTGGCTAAGCTCTGGCTATATCATTGACAAAAGTTCAGGTGGCGGTACGAGGTTAGCGCGGCGGATCTCAAAGCACCCAATCTGCTTCGGGTGGCCGGCCATGGTACGCATAAACTCTCGAGGCAACGCATTCAGATAACAGCCGACCATTTGCTCCTGGTTCCAACGGCCAGCCCGGCGAATCTGGTCCTCGGAAACCTCCTTTAACTCAGCCGTCTTAGCCCCTGAACTGCGGCCGATATGGGTCTTCTTGTTGGAGGTGATCCCAGCGTACGAGAAGGCTTTGACAACCCACTTGCGTTGCGCATTGTACGAGAAAGGTTTCGTACGATCAGAGCTGTTGCTATTGCCTTTGATCAGTCGGATATCGTACCAGGCCGAGCGTTGGCTGAAGTCTGGGAAAGCCTCGTTGGTAAGGTCCCAGCGGAAAAGAAGGTAGAAAGCTACCGCGCCTAATAGGCAAAGCTGAGGATTCCGATTCCGTAGGGCGCCAGCAGTCTCCAGCCGGCCGTGCTGATTCTGCTTACCAGCACGTGTCGTCATAATTAGCGGTATACAACGGGTAGGGCCCTCTCCGACAAACTCGAAGGTAAAGAGATCCGAGAGCTCCAAAGCACGACGATCGCCACCGCGAGTAAGCATATAGTGACTAAGAAGAATGTCGACAATTGTACGGAGGTAGCACTCAGGCGATTCGCCAGTCTGTGCCCAAAGCCCCTGGCAGACCCGTAAAAGCTGGGGCTCCGTATATCCGTCAAGGAGGGTGTCACGGCCTTTGTCAGCGTAGTTGGCCTTGTCGCGTACTGCATCTCGGCGTTGTAAGGACTTGATATATTCCCGTACGCTATGCTCACAAGGAGACGGGTGACTGTTCATTATTACAAACCACTCGACTGTTAGGGTCGTCTGTCTGTAAGGGAGCACGGGCTCCACAGAATGCTGGGGTTGGTAATTATGAAGATAGAACAAAGGGCAAGCTCCTTGTTGGATTGGCTACATCGTACCAGCTGAATGGAGCCTAAAAGGATGTGTAGGCATCAAGGCCTACATACGGGCCTATCATCATTGGTGGCCTAATGAGTGGCAAGTTTGATCGAAAGGGCATTATTATTTGCCATCTACTTCGCCACTATGTCCATCTATAATAATGGCTCTCTGGCGAAGCCAGAGAGCGGGGCGGGGACAATCAATTCTCAATATAATCCATCTGTGTGTCGAAGCCAACACTCCTATCGCACGGGTAATACAGTCAAATCGGAATGCCACTCAAAGTGTATGAGTGCAGTGAATGTGTATTGCTTGCTTGAAGAACCAAGCAAGAACTATCTAAGACCGTGGACACGGTCATTGTATTTATTTAATTATGGCGGGCCAGTAAGAGCACAGCTCTTACTTGCCCGGCAGGAAGGAGCTGCCTGGCGCCGGGCACTGCTAGCGTGCCGGGCCATTGCCTGGTGCCAAGACCCTTCTTGGCACCGGGCCACCTCTGATTGGCCGTCCTTCCGTTTGCCTGGTGCCAAGAGCCTGTGACGAACCTGGTTCGTACTGGACCAGCTGCAGGAGGCAGGCGCCTCAGGCAAGACTGGGGGCCCCGCTCGTCGAGAGCCAATCAGACAGTGCCCGGTGCCAAGAGGGCTCTTGGCACCAGGCAAACGGAAGGACGGCCAATCAGAGGTGGCCCGGTGCCAAGAAGGGTCTTGGCACCAGGCAATGGCCCGGCACGCTAGCAGTGCCCGGCGCCAGGCAGCTCCTTCCTGCCGGGCAAGTAAGAGCTGTGCTCTTACTGGCCCGCCATAATTAAATAAATACAATGACCGTGTCCACGGTCTTAGATAGTTCTTGCTTGGTTCTTCAAGCAAGCAATACACATTCACTGCACTCATACACTTTGAGTGGCATTCCGATTTGACTGTATTACCCGTGCGATAGGAGTGTTGGCTTCGACACACAGATGGATTATATTGAGAATTGATTGTCCCCGCCCCGCTCTCTGGCTTCGCCAGAGAGCCATTATTATAGATGGACATAGTGGCGAAGTAGATGGCAAATAATAATGCCCTTTCGATCAAACTTGCCACTCATTAGGCCACCAATGATGATAGGCCCGTATGTAGGCCTTGATGCCTACACATCCTTTTAGGCTCCATTCAGCTGGTACGATGTAGCCAATCCAACAAGGAGCTTGCCCTTTGTTCTATCTTCATAATTACCAACCCCAGCATTCTGTGGAGCCCGTGCTCCCTTACAGACAGACGACCCTAACAGTCGAGTGGTTTGTAATACATGTATATAAACGTGGCCCTCGCCCACCTTCCTTTGCGACGGCCAGGTTGAAGTCTCACACCAATACTACTCATTGCTCGCCCGCCTTCTTACCTGCATTGTGACCACCTTGATCCGGCGTACCTGCCTTCTCTTACAAGCGAATACAGCAGGAAAACAGTTCATCTTCTACGCAAAAATACGAGACTAGAGGTTTTGGAGACATGTAAGAGAAGGCAGGTACGCCTGATCAAGGTGGTCACAATGGGAGCAACAAGCAGGGCAAGCAATGACTGGTATTAGAGTAAGACTTCAACCTAGCCTGAGCTAAAGAGGTGTGCGAAGGCCATGGTCTATATACACATGAAAGGGGTTACGACTCATCCTTGCGTGGCCAGGGTCGTAGTGGCAATAGTGCGTGGCCCTGGTAGCGGTGGCGATGGTGGCGATGGTGGCGAGGGTGGCCCTGGTGGCGGTGGCTATCGTGGCTACGAGGGTGGTTTTCTTACAACAAGAGACAAAGAGTATTGTGCACAGATTGCGAAAGACAGGCTTTCAACACACAACCAATGTATGCTTAACCAGATGCATGGATAGCTGCAGAACCGTTCTCCCAGGGAGAGCGTGCTACCAGCTCTTATATAGAACTACGAGCAACCAATCAGAGTTCTTGCCTTGCACGCTCAGTCGTGCTCTGTCGTGTTCGGTCACGCTTGGTCGCGCTCAGTGTGTCTTGGCACGCGCCCCACTGAGCGCTCCCTGATTAGGTGCATCTTCCTCTGCTGAAGGCCCCACCCCGGCTCTGCCCCAGCCAATCTGCAGTGGGCGGGCAACGCCTTCTGCACCTTTGAACCGAGATTGTAACAACGAGGAATAGGGGATATAGGGCACAGTGTAGTATGGTGCTGATTCTGGTGATAGTCAAGACTGATCCAGATTGCAGTATGGTATCTCTTTTGGAAATGGTTAAAGAGTGAAAAAAAAGGAGAGAAATGCTCCGACTGCGTTGAAGGAACTCGCCTAACACTCGGGACGCCCGTTGGGTTTTGCCTGCTGTGCCAGCCCGTGAAGTGTGAGTATTGAAATCACTAGGTACCGGCACTGAAAACAACAGGGCGTGCTGTACGCCGAAAGCTAGTGGTTCAAGTGATGGTTATTGTTATCTATGTCTATATAGAAGAAAGAGGTAGCGGTAGGCTACTTATATAGAATCTGGGACCCCTACGTATTACAAACCACTCGACTGTCAGGGTCGTCTGTCTGTAAGGGAGCACGGGCTCCACAGAATGCTGGGGTTGGTAATTATGAAGATAGAACAAAGGGCAAGCTCCTACCACACGGGTAATACAGTCAAATCGGAATGCCACTCAAAGTGTATGAGTGCAGTGAATGTGTATTGCTTGCTTGAAGAACCAAGCAAGAACTATCTGAGACCGTGGCTACGGTCGTCGTATATATCTATCTAAGGCGGACCAATCAGAGAGTTGGTCCTAGGTGATCAGTGAGCTCAGTGCGGTCAGTGTGCTCAGTGCGATCAGTTTCCTCACTGATCGCCCTGACCATGCTGATCATACTGACCGCCCCGTTATTGGCTGCACTTGAGCGAAGCGGGGAACTACCCCACTTCCTTGCGTCAGCCAATAGTGGGAGGCTCCGTGCAGCCTCCTGCGCGCCTGAACCAGGATCGTAACACTACGCCTCCGCCGCCTGTGTGGCTGATGAATGAACCCTAATCTCTATATGGCTGGAATGCGCGTTGTTCCAAAATCTACATTCCCCATCATACGAGCTAAAAGAAACTCGATCAACTACTTAGGTACGTGATGCAAACGAACCACGAGCCCAACAAAAATCAGGTTTAACAAACATAGAATTAACAAACATCGGGGTCAGCGAACTTGGAGTTAATAAACATTTACAATTATTTATCGATGACTCAATAGCTAAATTTCAATATAAGCTTAAATATCTACGAGCCGCTGCCCTTCAAGGCGGGTTGCGTTGAGGGTTCATGACGTTGATTCTGGCGTTCGTGCTGTCATTAAACATCAAACAGGGAGCGGCGATAACGCTGCCCCAGGCCCTCTGGCGTCTTGGGGTCGATAAAGGGGTCTGTAACTGGCACGTTACGAACCTCAGACTTTGCCAGCTCGGCGGCCTCTCTCGCGAGAGGCGCGCCAGCCTTCTCTAACTTCTTCGCCGTAGAAGGCACCAGCGAGTACCCGTAGAGGAGCACTTGGCCTGCTCCCAGCAGCGACATGAACAGGCGGACGCCGCCTTCTTGCGAGCCTTCGCTGCTCGCCGCCGACGACGGACTCTTCTCTACTTTCTTTTCTCTAATTATCGCGAGAAATACGACGTCAAGGTTAGCGGGGCACGAGGCAAGTGTAAGGAAACCACCCTCGTAACCACCATGGCTACCGCCACCAGGGCCACCCTCGCCACCATCGCCACTATCGCCACCGCTAACAGGGCCACGCACTATCGCCACTACCACCCTGGCTACGCAAGGATGACTCGTAACCCCTTTCACATGTATATAGACCATGGCCTTCGCACACCTCTTTAGCTCAGGCCAGGTTGAAGTCTTACGCCAATACCAGTCATTGCTCGCCCTGCTTGTTGCTCCTATTGTGACCACCTTGATCAGGCGTACCTGCCTTCTCTTACAGCAAGAATGAAAAATCAAATGAGATAGATAATGCTGCTCGTAGCGGATTAATGAAGGAAAATGAAGAGAGTTGCGCCCGGGAGAGCTTGATGAGGAGGATTTATTGAAGAAGCGTGTTTGTGCCCGAGGTGGTGGCGCTTGAGGTTTGATGGCGGGAGAGGGTTATGTGCTCGGGCGAGGGTGAGCTGGAGAAGACGAAGAGGCAACAAGGTCGGGATTTGAGGAGGGGAAGAGCTTCACGATAGAGAGAGGCTAAGTGTAGCAACGAACCTTTTAAATCTAGGCCGGATTGAGGTTATTGTTAGTTTTGTATACATGAGAGCAAGACCGAGAAAAGGAAAGCGGGAGATAATTAAGGTCGGTTATAGGAGGAAGAAAGGTAAGCCGGTAGAGGGCAGGCGAGTTTATATAGGTCCGGTGTGGCAACTACAGGCCGGGTCGAGAGGGCGGGGGCTGGCAGGTAGGGTGCTTTCTGCCCAGGCTGTAGTGTAGGGAACAAAGGAAGTGAGACAAATGTGAAAAGGACGGGGATGTTGCCCGGTGAGTAAGACGTGTGCCTAGGACCGGTCATTGACGGCGGTATGGAGTGAAGGCCGGAGAGAGGGGAGGAAGAGCCGAGTCCCAAGAGCCGAGTCCTAAGGTTGGACGCAATGTCGGCTTTTGATTTTGAAGACGCGACATTTATTAGAAATCTGCCCGACGCGAATATTGCAGGGCCGAGCAGCCAAAGTGTAATCCGCTGGATTGCTATACGATGAAGATGCTCCCACAAAACTAAACCTAGTAGATATAGCAGCAGAATAAGCAGACCGACTACGTATAGATCAAGACTAATGAGAGAAGAGAAAATACCCAACTCGGTTGAAGGGAAAATAGTCAGGCTGACGGCTGTGAGCTCTTGCCCACGGTGCCAGCCCGTGAACTATGAGATAGTAGATGCAAGGCATTATTCAGTGAAGGTAGGTACGGTGGTCATAGCAAGGTCACTAAGGAGGGAAGATGATAGCCCGGTGGCACGTTTTTGTGAATGGTCGAAAAACGCAGTAGAATGTGCTCCGTTCTTGCAATTAGTCAAGATTGATATAGAGTGCGGTATAGTGGTGATTCTGGTGATAGTCAAGACTGAAGACAAAATACAAGGAGAAAATGGTTGAAGAGAAAACAGAAAACAGTCCGGACAGCCATTAGCTCTTGCTTGCTGGCCAGCGTGAACTGTGGGAGAGTGGATGTAAGGCATTATCAGTGAAGGCAGGCACCTTGGTTAGTAATCCAGCCCAGACACCACACAGCAAACACCACACAGCAGACACCACACACCAGACACCACACAGCAGACACCACACACCAGACACCACACAGCAGCCCAGACACGACAGCCGAGCAACAACAAGTCCAACAGCCCGCCCACACACGCCCGCCGAGCGACAACAATTCAATAGCCCGCCCACACACGCCAGCCGAGCGACAACAAGTCTAACAGCCGGCTCACACACGCCAGCCAAGCGACAATAATAGGCACCCTCGAACACACAAGGAAACAAGAAGGGCGGCAAAGAGAAACAGCAGTAAAGCATACCAGATCAAGATGCCAAAGAGTTGGAAATATCACAAGAAAACAAAGACGGTAGGGAGAAAGATCAGACAGCCTACCTCCATGTAAGGAAAGAGCACCCCAAACGCCCGGTCCGGCCCAGGCGCCATCAGCTGGCCCCAAACAGCTGGCCCGGCCCAGGCGCAACCAGCTGGCCCCAAACACCCGGCCCAGGCACCCGCGAGATTGAGCCACCCAACTATGTATAGACGTGGCGACCCAACAAAGAAATCGCCCCACAACGAAATCTCTGCCCCTGTCATCTAATTTCCCGCCCTCCAACTTCAAAACACCACAACTTCATTAATTCAAGCCCGAATTGCTTCAAAATAAGCCATATCGAACCGCCGTGAGCAGCTCATTCAAGCTGCAATACTTGCTGTTAAGCAGGGCGCCTCGCAGAAAGACGCCGCTAAGTTGCATGGCATCCCTGCCTCCACTCTCTGCAAACGCATCCATGGGGCAGAAAATCGTGCCAAAAGTAAACAAGCCGAAAGAAACCTCTCCGATGCGCAGGAAAGCTTCCTAGCCAACTGGTGCCTCAATGAGGAAGCTGCAGGGCGCGCTCCTAGCCGTCGTCAGGTGCAGAGATTCGCTCAAGCTATACTCAATGAGGCCGGCACGAAAAAGACCGTTGGCGAGCGATATGTGGATCGCTTCCTACGCCGCAACCCTGCGGTAAAGATGAAGAATTCGGCCTTGTTAGAATCGTCTCGCGTTAAGGGCTCTACTCGTGAGGCTTACGAAGATTTCTACAAGCGCCTGGCCTTCCAGATCAAGGATAAAAGGGCTATTGCTGCCAACATCGCCAACATAGATGAGCACGGCATGCAGGAGCTTGAGACCCAGGCCGGAGAGGTCATCGGAAGCTCCCTGACAAAGCGGACCTACGTAAAAAGCTCTGATGCAACTACCTGGGTCTCAATTATCGAATGCGGCACTGCAGAGGGCGTTTGTTTGAAGCCCGTGGTCATATTTACCGGGGCCAGTCTAGGCTAGTGGTGTTCTGAGCTGGTCTCCTGGTGGTGTCTCTTATTGGTGTCCCCTGTGGTGTCTTGGGCTAGTGGTGTTCTGGGCTGGTCTCCTCTCCTGGCGGTGTCCTGGCCTTCGTGCTGCAGCTAGGTACCTCCTTTGCCTTCTGTTGCGGCTGGTGACGGCCGGGCGATCGTTTGCCTTGTGCTGCTGCGTGGTGCCTCCCTCTCCTTTACCTTCCCTCTCTCCTTTGCCATATGCTGGTGATGTGACTCGGCCGTGTCGTAGACGTATGTACGTGGCTGCGGCGGGTGCCATGTTAGTTCTCTCGTCATGGCTGCTATCAGGGAGGGGGTATGTCGTACCTTATTTGTCATGGCTGCCATCAGGGAATGTCGTGCCTTGTTTGTTATAGCTGGTGACGGCATCAGGGGTGTGTCGTGTACGTAGCTGCAGCGGGTGCCAGGTAGTTCTCTCGTCATAGCTGGTGACGGCATCAGGGGTATGTCGTGCGTTGGTCATGGCTGCCATCAGGGAATGTCGTGCCTTGGTCATGGCTGCCATCAGGGAATGTCGTACCTTGTTCGACTGCGGCCGTCAGGGGCATGTCGTTTGTGTTGGCTGGTGACCACGTGTCCCTCTCTCCTTTGCCTTCTCCTTCTCTTTGCCTTCTTTACCTTCTTACCTTCTTATCCGTACTACGGTAATGCCACAGCATCAACACTCTGCCTTCATCTGTTGTGGTGACCAGTCCCGTTACGTGCTTTTTGTTTGACTGCGGCAGGGGGCATGTCGTTTGCTTGTTTGTGTTGGCTGGTGACTACGTGCTCCCCTTCCTTCTGTTGTGGTTGACTTGGTATGTGTTGCCTTCTCATTCTGTTGTGGTTGACTTGGTTGTGTTGAATTCAAGACAATGTCGATTGCTATGTCCTGTTAACAAGGCCTGACGGCAGTGCACACAAGAGAAGAGCGCAAAGACTGAGTCAGGCGTGTTGTCCTTGGAAGGTGTAACAAAGACGGCGTGCCCTTGGAAGGTGATATAGGAAGACGGCGTGCAACCGGAGGAAGAGAGACGCACCGCAGTTAATGGCTGATTCAAGACGAGCCAATGCTGTGTCGAACAAGGCCGTGACGGCTGCGGCATGTCAGCAAGCAGTGCAGCAAGGGAAGTAGTGCAGCACGGGCAAGAGGAAGGCAGTTACGAGAAAGAGACGCACCGCAGTTGATACTGATTCAAGACGAGCCATGTGGATTGCTGTGTCGTGTCGAAGGAAGGCCGTGGCGGCTGCGGGATGTCAGCAGTTGATGGCTGATCAAGACGAGCCAATGTAGATTGCTATGTCGAAAAAGGCCGTGACGGCTGCGGGATGTCAGTAAGCAGTGCAGCACGGGGAGAGGAAGCAGTGCAGTACGGGCAAGAGGAAGGCAGTGACGAGAAAGAGACGCACCGCAGTTGATACTGATTCAAGACGAGCCATGTGGATTGCTAGGTCGTGTCGGGAGAAGGCCGTGGCGGCTGCGGTGATTGATTCAAACCGATGTCAATTGCTGTATCGTGTCAGAGACAAAGCCGTGACGGCAGTGCAACACAGAAGAGCACCTACAGTTGATGGCTTGCAAGCCCATAATGTAGATTGTCGTTGCAAAGGCCGTGATGGAGGACAAGGACAGCAGGACACCGTGACGCGTACAACGAGTGTTGTTGAGGGAAAAGGCGTGACGGCTGCGGTTTGCCGGGATGTCAGCAAGGCAGGGCAACGAGAAAAAGAACACAAGCACCTGCGTTTAGCGGGATGGCTGATTCGAAACAATTTAGATTGCTACGTCGTTTCAAAGGACACGTCAGCAAGGCAGTAAGTCAGGTGGTCTGCTTATGGAACACCCCTGGATTTGGAACAAGGTTTGTCATCAAGGACTTGCCGCTCGCCACCCAACTCACCTATTTCAATCGCTTGCAACTCGACCAATTCTGCTTCAATACTTATCTTCTTTTCTCCATTCAATTGAGAAATGAAAGATGAAGCGATATACTCAGTTGGATTTGCAGAATGCGCTGGCAGAGTATGCAGAAACCGGCTTACTCCGTAGCTCTGCTGAAAATCACGGCATCCCCCCTACTACTCTCTTTAATCGGGTTCGTGGTTCCGAGCCAGCCTCCAAGGCCCAAATTCTTAATCAAAAGCTTTCTCCGGCTATGGAAGAACGCTTAACCGAATGGATTCTATTCCAAGGGTCGCTCGGTCACCCTCCAACCCACGCCCAAATTCGGAAACTAGCTAGAAGAATGCTCGAAGATAACGAGACCCTCGGAAAACGCTGGACTAGCTGGTTTTTGGCTAGAAATCCATCTATTTCTACAATTAGGCCTCGGAG